TGGTGTTTTATTTTATTATTATTATTTTTTTTTTTGAACAAGTTGTCAAGGGACGGGTTTCAGAGAGGAGAAATGCATATTAAACTGGCAAGCTATCAGTTGGCTCGAAGAATCAGGTGCTTTCAATGGTGTTTTATTAAACTATAGTAATTTTAGAATATTTATTGCATAATTTTTTACAAATCCCACATGTAAATACTAATCCCAATATCACATATAATATTGTTCTATACTAAAAAAATTGTAATTAATACTATAATAAATTTAATATTTTGCTACTATAAAAATATTATTTACTAATTTTACTCTTATAAAAGTTATTATTGTGATTAAGATTAAGAATATACATCATTACTTTTTCTTTGTCTTATAACTACATGATTAAAATGATAAAAAAGAAAAAATTAATACACTTTTGTTGAAACAAATAATTAATCTAAAAGTGAGAAGAAGAAAGGAATGTGCATGCATTGGCTGAAACCACACAAGCTTTCATTTGAGTTCCTTTTAACTGTTTAATATTTTAATTCCATTTTCCATTTTCATTTTTTTTTTTTCATTTTTGGATCATCCATTTTCATTTATATAAATTTTCAAAAATACAAATGGTTAGAGAAATTACAAGATGTAAATGCGCATCGGGGGAATCGAACCCCGGTCAGTACCGTGGGAGGGTACTATGATACCACTACACCAGATGCGCATGCATTTGGTGTTGAGGCAGTTGGGCACAAAATTTAATATCTAACTTCCATAATATTATAAAGGAACAAATACACAAATAATCTGTTGATTCGAGTGGAAAGAAATCGATTATTTTCAAGTAAAATTTTAAGTTTGAATCTTATGAATAAAATAATAGGTGTTAAGAGAGCTTCCTTTATATAGGGTCTAACTCAATTCGATTCTGAATTAATCATGGTCCGATATGATTTCTAAATACTAGAAGGTTAGTAAAAAATAATAATAATAAAAGAAGAAATACAGCAAAAATGAGGGAAAAAAACCTTGTTGATTCAATTTCCCAATAAGTTTTCGAATATTTGAATTGGCATTTCAATGATTAGAAGTGTAACCCTCTACCTTGAAGGTTTGAGTTTGAATTTTAAAATAGCTTAAGGAAGGATTTTGGGAAGTATGGCCAACCCGTTATCAAATGTTTGAAAAAAAAAATCTAATAAAATGGGGAAAATGAGGATTCAATTTTCTCTTCATCTGGTTTTATAGATGAGTTAATTGGCCTTGAAATAATTAATCAATTTTTGTTTTGATATTTATAGTTAAAATGTCTCAAATCAATTTATTTACATCTTGAGACCAATCTATTTCTTGATGACTTTAAAAGCGTATTCCTTACTAATTTTAAAGGCGTCTCGTTTACATTGACTTATTATATTCAAGGAAATTAATATCTTTTAATGCTAATCTCAAATTTTGAATCATAAACTTAATTTATAAGATAATATTTACTTATTAGTAGATTCAACATTTGAGATTAATAATTAATAGATACTTAACTTTAAAGATTAGATTCACTAATAAATAAGTGTTATTTAATAGACTAGTGTCAAGATTCAAGTCATGAGATCAGTACTAAAGAAAATTAATTTTTTTGAATGTATTAAGTCAATATAAAAATGTACCTTTAAGATCATTTAAAGAAAAATTAGTTTTGAAATGTATGAAAATTAAGTAGGACACCTCAGTTGTAAATAAAACTATTAATAAATACTATGGTTTTGTTTAACCCAAGTGAATGGGTGAATTTGGATCTAATAAAGTTCAGAAGCTTGTTGCCTTTATTTATTTTTAATTAAGACTTGAGAGTTAAAAAATGACTTTGAATTTAGAAAAAATAAACACGGAGAACCTATTTTAATAAGCTCGGAACATTGAAGGACCGATTGTAGCCTTAGATGATAATAAAAGAAGGTTAAATCCCCATTTTGGTCCCTGAACTATTGTACGGATCCCCGATTTGGTCCCTAAACTAAAGAAATCCCTGATTTGGTCCTTAAACTATTGTACGGACCCCAATTTAGTCCCACTATTTATAATTTGACCTAAATTGGTCCTTAAACTATTGTACGGACCACCAATTTTGTCCTTACTGTTTACAATTTCGCCCCAATTTGGTCTCAGAGCTATTATTTAACAAAAAGACCAAGTTGGGGTTAAATTGGTAAACAATAGGTACCAATTTAGGCATCCGTATAATATTTTAGGGACTAACTTAGGAGTCCGTACAATAATTTAGGGACCATACGACCCTGAATAGTTCAAGGATCAAATTAGGGATTTCTTTAGTTTAGGGACCAAATCGAAGGTCCGTACAATAGTTCAGGGACCAAAATAGGGGTTTAACCATAAAAGAACGAAAAAAATAAAAAAACCAAATCCATCCCTCCAGAGCGGGAAGGAGAAAAAAGAACAGGGACTCTATCTCAGAAACGGAGGTGAGGGGAATCAAAGAGAGGTCGAAGAGAGTTATTGTTAACATCGATTCCTTTGATTCTCCACAAACAATTCGAACCGATTCAAAGAGTTAGGGCATAAATCACAGCAAAATTGATGGAGGAAAGGAGGAGACGAACCGAATCGGAGAGAAGAGCAATCACCTTCTCCGAACGCCGCCCCGATTTGATCAAAGGCTGGCGAGCTCTCCGATCTCTGCGTTGTCAATACCTTCTTCAGCCAGCAGCGGAAGACCGTATGAGTTCTCCAGCCGCCGATACCTTGTTATACAGGTACGCCTCCTTCCTCCCGTTAATCCTTGTTCTGTGTTTGGCAACCAAGAAAATAACCGAAATGTAAGAAAATAGCAGAAATGTTATAGTTACTATATAATATAAAATTATAAATTTATAATATAATATTAAATAAATATATATAATATTATAAATATATTAAAATTATTTATATAATGATATTAAGTTTATAATAATTGTAGTTATAATATTTAAAAAAATACATATTTTTAAAATATAGATAATACTTATTTATCTTATATTTTAAAAATTATGAAAAAATTATTCAAAACTATTTCACTTCAATAAGATTAAATTATTTTATTTTTAAAATATAAATTAAAATATTTTTATTTTATTTTATAATATTTTATTCAAATGATATAATTTTAAAATTAA